GTCGCAGCGACTCGAGAGGCTGAGGCAGGAGAACTGCTTGAACTTGGGAGGCGGAGGTTGCAGGGAGCCGAGATAGCGCCACTGCACTCCAGCCTGGGCGACAGAGAGAGACTCCATCAAAAAATATATACATATATATTTTTCAGAAACTTGTTTCTTAGAAATTATTTTTTAACTGCTCTCTCTATACAGAACAGTACATTTCTACATTAAGAGTTTTGAGAATTAAATGTAGTCTCCAAAAGCCATAATCATTTAAAGAGCAGAAAAATATTAATTAGCAGCATGTACACAATGGTCAATATACATTCACCGTGATACTGTCCCACACGGGACCTCAGGCCTGCCCAGTGAGGCAAATCTAAGTCAGAAAACCAGAGGCAACTCTGCTGGAACAACTATTCCACCCAGAGGATTGACTCAGAGGCACAGAATATGGCTGTGGAATTCTCGTAACGTCCTAACATCGCAAACTACAAAGACAAACATTACCTCCAGGAACATGACACTAAAACACTATTCAGAAACCAGACATGCCGCTGATTAAGTTAAAATAACTAAGTTTAGAAAACAGAAAGTATACATGAAATTTTTTTATTGTTCAAAAATCTGGGTTGAACAGTCAAGCTGCATATACATAAGTGAACCCAAAACAACAACAACAACAACAACAACAACAACAACTTTTAAAATATAACCCAGACCCTTACAAATTGTTAACAGACTACTGGACTATCAACTAGAGGGCTGGACTGGATGAACAAAAAAAAAATTCCTTCCAACGCTGACGCTCTAAGACAGAAAACAGGAGTGACACCCGCTTTCCCACTCACGTGCCCCCGCACGCACAGTGATGTATGCACAGGTGCGCCCATCTGGGGGAAGAAAGAAAAAGCTGGAGACGGTACAATAACATCATTCACATTACTGACCACTTCCTACATCGTTCAGAATGATGTTTCCAGTGTTAAGAAATTATGGATATCCTCTACATTAAAACAAAATTACAGAACAGTGAAAACATTAGGACAGTTTTGTTGCTATTATTTGGAAAATACAGCCCCATAGAAAATATTAAATTTTTAAATAAAAACATTGCGCTTATCTAAATAGTTCAATTGAACAGACTTTTGTCAGTTACAGCTAAGCAAGCGGGCCCTGGGACAGGTTATACTTGGAATCTACCCAGAAGAGATTCTCTCCATCTCTTTGGGAAGACGTTTTGCTCTGTTTCAGAATGAAAAACTAAGGAAATGAAAATCAATCAATGCCTATTCTATTGCTAAATTTAAAGCAAACATGCTGGTGTCGTTGAAAATTTAGTTTAGAGTTTAAATTGGCAAAAACTTGGGGCACAGATAAAACTGTTCTATTGCCAGGGAGAAACTGAGCATCGGAGCTGACGATACTCTACACTCCTGTGTGTTTCCAAGGCCTTCTAGTGCAAGCAAATGAAAACAAAACAAAACAAAACAATCCAGCTTTAGTTCTAACACTGACATTGTAGACTCCAGAAGTAATTCGGATTTTTAAAACTGCATTCATTCCCTCAATATCTGAATTTAAACAGCGTTCCATAAAACTTCAAGTACAGCTAAGGAAAGCACCTCACTGCCCCAGGCCATCTTTCTGCTGTTGAAATTGAACTTTTCTTGCATTTGTATTCTAAAACAAGTTTTTGGTTTTTTTTTCTTGATTGCTTTTTGAAACACAGACGTCTATTGTGCAATTTTCTGATTTTCTACCTGTTTTTAGTTCTGCGTTTGAGCATGGAAAAGCACGTGGGCTTCAGTCTACAAGCTCTAGTCTAGGCTACTCAACCCCCAACGGTGGGGACTCTTGGCTTTTCTCACTTGAAAGCAATGGACTCTTTCAGGATACAGTGTTTTAAATGGTGGTGGGGGAAAATTGAGAGCAATTCATATTTTATTTGTAAAAGACATACTTGAATTTTCTATTTATACCAGAATTATCATGCATTATTTCAGTAATAAAAATGAAGAAACATGATGCTGTGGTATGGCATTTATTACATCTTCTTGTATTAATTTAGCCATTCATATGAGGACTTTGGGTGCTTTTAGATATGTAGCTTCTAGCCATATTATCTATTTAAAAGCATACATACCCTTCCTCTAGTGGATAATGTCCTGGTATTTAACAGCCCAGAGCCCACTGAAATTATGATACTAAGCAAACACTGTTTTATTTAAATCAAGCCTTATAGGTTGCTGTACAATTTATTATCTTCGTAAGACTATTACATAGCTTGTATATTTCCTGGATGGTTATCATAACTAAAAAATTCTGTATCTTAACATATAAAATATGTATAAAATTCCAAAGTCACAACTTTTCCCCTCACAATTCTCTATTGTTTCCTGGCATTTGGTGCTATAGAGCAGAAGTCTGAAGCCAGATGCTCTTTGGTTTTCTTATAGGCAATGTGTTACTTTTGTTTTTTTTTGAGACAGAGTCTTGCTTTGTTGCCCAGGCTGGAGTGCAATGGCACGATCTTGGCTCACTGCAACCTCTGCCTCCTGGGTTCAAGCGATTCTCCTGCCTCAGCCTCCCAAGTAGCTGGAATTACAGGCGTGTGCCACCACACCCAGCTAATTTTTGTATTTTTAGTAGAGACGGGGTTGGCCACATTTAGTAGAGACAGGGTTTACCATGTTGGCCAGGCTGGTCTCAAACTCCTGACCTCAGATGATCTGCCTGCCTCGGCCTCCCAAAGCACTTGGATTATAGGCATGAGTCACTGTGCCCGGCCCGCTGACTTTTTTATATGCCTCATTTTACTTTTTTCTCTACACTCATCCTTAAATGTGGCCCTTTCTTCCCAGACCCTGTTCATGTAATGTTTGTTGAATCTCTTTTTCAGTTAAATCCCAGGTCAATGCTAAGGTGATGAACATATTTCCAAGTCCAATTTCTAGTTTGCCACTTTTCTATTGAAGCAGCATCCTTTTCCTTCCTATTGCCTGGTTTTGTGGATCTCTGAACCAACATCATACATAAAAAACCATAATATTCACATGTTCTGCTACTCGGTATTTATTGTTTCTACCTTCACCTAAAGGGCTTTATTCTCGGGATGCCAGCATGGGTCTAATAGTCAGTCCTTCTCTGCTTTCTGCTCATGATTTAGCTCTAAGATTTATGTGGGACAGAATGAAGAGGAAATGGATTGGGGAGAAAGAAGAGAGGGTGGATATGAACTTCTCTTCCCAGTGTAACAGTGGTTAAGAGCATCGGCGAGTATTTCTCCGGCTCAGGAGCTCTGACTTCGAGTAAGGTGACAGACATGACTGGGGAAGAGGACAACTACTAAATAGTTTTCATGTTTTTAATTTCACAGGGCCTGTTTCATGAAGTAAGCCAAGAATTGAGCTACTTGGAAACTTTTGCCCCAAGCCACCTCCACATGCCTCATAAATTACGTCAATTCCTTCTAGATTCTAGAATTGAGATTTGGCCTTCCTCTGGGTTTTTCCGGGAAGGTACGAGAAGCTCACTAGGGTCTTCTGCGAGCCGGATGTCATTCTGCCAGATGCAGTTCTGTTTATTTTTGAAAATGGAAATCTTCCCAGCTATGATATGGAGGAGAGAGTTCTGGACTAGTTCTCTAGTCCTGAATCGATTACTTATTGTTTGGCTGATCTTGGATGGCCCCTTTAATATCTCTGGACTTAAATTTCCTTATTGATAAAAATGGGGAAATTTGACTAGATGATCTCAGAGTTTCATATAACCTATTGCTTTATAAGTCTCAAAAGAGAAAATAAATATGCCCTGATAAAGGAGAAAAGAACACAAAACAAGTGAGTAAATAAGTATATTTTTCCACTTTGGGAGGTCAAGGCGGGTGGATCACTGAGGTCAGGAGTTTGAGACCAGCCTGGCCAACATGGTGAAACCCCATCTCCACCAAAAACACAAAAATTAGCCGAGTGTGGTGGCGCACGCTTGTAATCCCAGCTACTTGGGAGGCTGAGGGGAGAGGATGGCTTGAACCCAGGAGGCAGAGATTGCAGTGAGCCGAGATTGCATCACTGCACTCCAGCCTGGGCAACAGAGTGAGACTCTGTCTCCAAAAAGAAAAGAAAAAAAAAAAAAAATATATATATATATACATTTTTCTATGACAGTGCTGTAGCCTACAGATTATAAAAATCCTCTGACCAAAATTAAATAGCAAAAGTAAAAAACCTGAGCATGTAATTGTGGCGTAAGTTGGCAACTCCTTTACTTTTTAAGCAGGGACGCCGATGTTGAAACAGGCGCAGCTTGTAAACTAAGTTTTATTAGAATAAATACACATGACCATCTTCCCTTTAAGGTAGATGACAGGTAATACAAATTACTTATTGGATAAAGACCGAAGGTTCTCAGTAGGCAGAAAACGCTGGGGAACCGCCAGGCTTTCCAGGAACGGTTCAATTCCCAAGTGACCAATCATTTAGTAAGAGAGTACATGGAGGGGTGACACAGTATGGCTTGAGATGAAATAGTTGCCAAACAAACCAAAACTGTGTTTAATTTTCTTTTAAGTTAATGGACTTCTATGGCCTTCAGGAGGCAGTTTTGTCTCATGGACTGAGCACTAGATTAGGCTTTCCAGGAACGGTTCAATTCCCAAGTGACCAATCATTTAGTAAGAGAGTACATGGAGGGGTGACACAGTATGGCTTGAGATGAAATAGTTGCCAAACAAACCAAAACTGTGTTTAATTTTCTTTTAAGTTAATGGACTTCTATGGCCTTCAGGAGGCAGTTTTGTCTCATGGACTGAGCACTAGATTTGGAGGCAGAAAACCTGCATTCTCCAACTTACAAACTTAAATTCTCCAACTTATCGGTGAGATTTTGGGAAGTTTAACTCCTCTGAGCCTAGATTCTCAGTAAGTAATACGGAAATAATTAGACATACCTTGTAGAGCGGTTGTAAAAATTACATGAGAATATATGGCAGCTGCGAAAAAGCATGTAACACAGTGTTAGTCAAATCTGAGCCTTCTAGAAATTTTTATTTGAACAAATCAGTAGATGTAACAATAACCACAGTTAAATGCAAATTAATCAAATCAGTTATATTGACCACCAAGTATCTAGGAGCCCATTCTCACCTCAATGTGGGGAGGGAGAGTTATCTAATTGCTATGAATAGTAATGGAACTAAAATATATCTACATATTATCCAGTGATGTTTTGGGTCTTATTACATATTTCCTGAAATAATTAACTTCCATATGAGTTGTATTAGCTAAATAATAAAGGGCTTTCATTGAGCACAACAATCAGATTCTGGTCAACCACTGAACATGGGGAACTTCTGTAGATTTTTTGGACTGTAATGAACTAGAAATATTCAAAATCATAATAATAATGGGTAAGCTTTGTCTGAAGCATGGGCAGCCTTCCTCAAAGAAGTCTTGGGAAATTCTGTTATGTCAGAATACACATGTCAGATGGAGGAACTTCCAGAGATGTTCATTTAGTTATCATATCCCATGGCCTCCTCTTCTCTTAGAAGGGGAGGGCAGTGGTAGGTCACCACGAATCCCTCCCTCCTCCTGTTTTAATAAGGGTGATTCATTTATATGGGAAAATGCAACAAAGATTTTTACTTAGGAACACTGCCTACACGATGGAACGTTTTTCTTTTAACACAGAGCATTAAAAATTCACTCCAAAAACAAAAGCATTCAAAAATATATACAAGTTTGAAACTTTTAATGCATACTTCTGTTCAGAGCTGTTACCAGCTTTTAACTATGTATGGGCCTTATCTTAGACTACACTGGAGATTGTGTAGAGAAAATGAGGTCACTCTTCTCTGAGGTCTTCACTGTTTGTGTTCATTGATGCCTAAAGGTAACCAGTTACTACCTCAAAAGTTTTTAGCAATCTACATCTCATAAAAGCAACAAAGTGATGGATGTTTGATAAGGACAATATTTAAGCATTCTGTTACTTTATTTTAGTGGTAACGGTGTGGACTGTGTTAGCCTAAACTGAGAAAAATGATCAATATTCTGCTGCTTCGAGATAGCAAAATAATTTTAGAAGTTGTGGAACTTGAAAGTTAAAGAAAAGTCTTATTCCTAAAGAAGGCATCCCAATATGGTGAGAAGCACTAAATTAGGAGATTAACTATCTTCAGGAATTGGGAATTCCTTCAGGAATTAGGAATTTTGCGTCCTAGCTCTGCCACTTCCTAATTATATCACCTCGAGGAATTGTAGAAGTGCAACACGGTTCACTGTGGAGATCCATCCCACTGATGGCACTTTATAGCTAAGGAAATTGATATCGGCATTTGCCCAAGTGAGGAGTGAAGCAGCTCCGAGTCTAGTTATCTTTCAAGTACAGCAAGATGCTTCCTTTTCTACAAGAGTATTACTTTGTCCAGATTCTCCTAATGACTATGTCTATGAAAATGCTGAGTGTGGCATATAATGCTTGATGCTTTTAATAAGCTTGAATTAAAATAAAAATCAAAGTAACCAAATTTCACATTTCTTCAAACACCACTTATCAGCCAGGGCAAATTAATGTAGCATAAAATCCAAGGAAAGCTGGAAAATGCCACATGACCACGAAGACCCATCTTTCACAGCTTTGGTTAGGTACTTCCATAAAATTCCTGTTTGCAAACACACTAAACAATGGAAAAACCTTCTCATAAAGCCCCATAAGGCTTTTCTGTTCTTCCTTCACTTGTTTTTGCTTATATCTGAGGTATCAGAGCTTGGTTGTGTTGGAGGTAGAATTCATGGGTGAAATGTGTTAACTTGACCAGATTATCAGGTTTGGTTTCTTTTTCAAGTTTAACAGTTTAAGGGAGACAGAATCTCCATAATGGAAGAAATAAGTGGTATAATGCAAATTAGTTACATAATATTAGTTATTACCAAAAGCTATAACTAAGCTGGCTAACATTTATTGCGTGCTTATGATGTGCCTGGTACTGCCCTAAACTCTTTATATTCAATTGAATCATAACCTTTAAGGCGACATCCTAGCTTCTGTGCCAGAGTAAGCTTCCAACATGGAGTCTGCTTAGATTCGGCGGGCGGGGGGCGGTAGCCAGAAAGTAGGGCTCACTTTAGAGCAGATATGAAAGGTGCTGTGGACAACAGTTCACCTGAAGGACACTCTACGGATCCTCTCATAACACCTGCAGTACCACCAGCCCTGACACACAGCCCAGGGGCAACCTGTGCTTAAGTAAACTTGTGAATTCTTGATACGTATTTCTACTTGGGAGCACAAAAAACCCAAAGGTAAGTGGAGAAAATGCTCTTTACCGCCCCACTTCTCTCTCTGGGGATTCTCCTTTCTCTTGCATCAGGCCAAGAGCAGAAAATCCTGGAGTCCCCAGAAGGTAAGGTTTAGAGCTGACTGGAAGCCAGAACAACTGCCTTAGAACACCAACGAGGACTCCTACTCCGGCCCCCTTAAGATCTCGGAGGATGGATTTGGCCAAACACATGGACAGGCGCTTCACCATTTTATTTTTTATTTTTTTGAGATGGAGTCTAGCTTTGTTGCCTAGGCTGGAGAGCAGTGGCGTGGTCTCGGCTTGCTGCAACCTCTACCTCCCAGGTTCAAGCGTTTCTCCTGCCTCAGCCTCTCAAGTAGCTGGCATTACAGGTACCTGCCACCACACCAGGCTAATTTTTGTATTTTTAGTAGAGACGGGGTTTCACCAGGTTGGTCAGGCTGATCTTTAACTCCTGACCTCAAGTGATCCGCCCACCTTGGCCTCCCAAAGTGTTGGGATTACAGGCGTGAGCCACTGCACCAGGCCGCTTTGCCATTTTAGCAGGCTTACCAGGCTTAACCACATATTGTGTGTGTTTGTGTGTGTGTGTGTCTGTGTATACATTTATGTATACATGTGTATACACAGATTCACACACACACATATACATAAATGCATAATAAAGTACCTAGTACAACGGGTAGCACATGCTAACACTTGATGACTGTGTTTAGTTCCTCACTCTTGTTCCCCAAGGTGGAATGTCATAAACAGCTTTTAGGCTGCTCAGACACTGCTTTTATTCCATCAGATGCCACTGAAGATTTGCCCTCCTGATTTTTTATTATAATAATTCACTTCAGAACCCAGGGATTTTATGGAACATCAACTAGGTGATAGGCAACACATTTGAGGGAGAGATGATTATTGAGCTGATGAAAAGCCACTACCAACAGAAAGATTACAACCTCTGCAGTCGTTATTGCTACCTTTGAAAAGGTCAAAATCTGAAAAGATCCCAGTGATTCCTAATGGCAATTTCTTTTTGACTCTATTCAAATAAAAATGGAGGTTTTATTTAATTAGGCTACAGGCTTTGCCCAATAGTTCACATAGCTTGTATTTCAGTTTAAGTGCAGAACCAACAAAACAAAATATCCTTTGGGTGTTTAGCAAACTAAAGGAAATTGTACCTAATGTTTTGTGTATTTCTTTTAAATCAAAACCCTAAGATCACTACAGGAAACCACACCAGAACATTATGTGATATCAAGTCATACACTGATGATTAAATATTACCTGTTATTTATATACAGATGGAGAAATACCAAAATTAATCTCCTTTCAGGAAATGTCAACTAGTAAACAAACTTATAAATGCACAGTGACTAAAAAGGGAATAACATTAAATCTTAAGGCAGCATTGGTTGAGTCTTCTCTGGTAAAGGAAGTATTACATATCTCAATGACTAGCATATGATTTTTTAAGAAACCAATTAATTAAAATAAATACTAAAATAATGTTTTTAAAAAGAAAGAGGACTGATTTTAAGACTTCTACAAAATGAATTTGTATTAGAATTTTAATTTGGGATTAGAAAGCATATTAGGAGCATAATGGAATAAAGTTACAGGAGACTTTTCTCAAATACAAAGTCAAGGTCCCTAGAAATTATTGTTACTATTACTGTGCACTCTTTGGGCTCCTTTTTCAGTTGTGGTTGCACTCAGAGTAGTTATTAGAAAATTCTGCTGATTTTTAAATAATGTGGTCAGGTTGCATTTGACCTGAGTGAAATGGTTTCAAACTGCATTAGCTACCATGCTGCGCTCATTTTATAACTACATCCTTAATGCTGGGTTTGCTTACCTGCTGGGGTGCCTAAATCATCGTGTCCCAAGCATTGGTGCCAGCCTAAAATGATGACATCTAATTGTGGCTGAAAAGTTATACATTGACAAAAATATTCCAAAGCTCTTTAATAAAGAAATTTTGGGGATCTGTGTTTTTTGCAGCTTGTTTGGTTAGCTTTTCTTGGCTAAGACTAAAAATTACCTTTACTTGTTTTATAGATCCAGTGCTATATGCTGACAGAATAATGGGATGACACAAAGAACAGACAGAAACCTCAAAAAATGTTCCAAACGAGCTCTCACATGGTGCTGAGAAATAAAACATAGGCACTTCTGCGTCAGGAGGTTTTCACATTTTGATCACAGATTGGCTTCTCCAAGCCATTTTCCTTCACTACTAGAAATTCCCTCACGGTACAAACTGTCTAGTTCACTAGAAGCCTTGTTCTCACAGACACCCTTCTGGTGCGTGAATCTTTTGTCATAAAATTTTCTCATTGGCAGCTGAGATGGGGTTCCTCCCGCTGCTGGGAGCCGTGGGAGCAGCCCGAGTCCCTGTCAGATGACCGAATGTCGCTTGAGGATCTTCCCTGACACAAGGCTTCCTGCCCTCCAGAACCACGTTATCCACCAACAAAAAAAACAAAGGCGTGTCAAGCGCAATCTGTCTGCTGGAAACAGGGAACGTGTCTGCCTCTCTCCAGTTCCTCCTTGTGAGTGTAATTCAACAAAGTGTACAGTCTTCCTAACATTCTAAAGCTACTGCGCTACTGGGAGTTTTTAAATGACTACTTAACAGTTTCCTTTTTTTTTTTTTTTTTTTTTTTAGAAAACCTGTGCTAGAAAGGCACTAGAGAAAATGAATTTCCTCACTCTTGCATGTAGCAATTATACATTGTGTTAGATTCTAAAAGCTAACAAAGTTGACACACATTTGGATAAACCATTCGAATGATTTAGACTCATCTAGTTTCATTTTAAAAAGCAAACCCCAAGACAAAGGGAGAGCGGGCCACACCAGGGGGAGAGCTGCCAGACCGGAGGTCACACCCAGTCAGCCCCTGCCTCCGCGGAGCTCCAGCTGCTCCAGCCCTGGCCGCCCCAGGGAGCGCCCACTGAGCAGGTGACAGGGCAGTGGCTGGGCCCCAGGGAGGGCTCACTGGCAGCAGCTGTGGGAGCCAAGCCTCCGGGAGACCTGAGTGAACGAGACAAAGGTGAAGTTCTCACAGTTTTCCAGCTTGACCTTCTTGGCTAAGTTTGGGACAATTCCCCGAAGAGAGCGCAGCCCCATTCTCTGCTCCTCGTACCACACGCTGCCCATGTCTGTGGCCTCCTTCCTGGCAGTCAGGTAGAAGGGGGATTTGGCCTCCATTTGGGTGGGCGGCCGGTGGATGTACATGTACTTGTAGAGGAGGCAGTAAGGGCACTGTTTGTGTCCCCGGGAATGCTCATGGTAGATTTTCCCGTGACACACTCTGGTGGAGCCGCTCCGACTCTCCCGCTTGACGCTGTCTGTCCGGGCAAAGTACGGCTGGTTTTGGGGGTCTTTGAGCAGCTCGATGTCACCGTACATCAGATCTGCATGCTCCTGCAGCGTCCGCATGTTCAGGTACTGGCTGTTGTACTTGACCACAGTGGACAGGAGAGTGATAGGGCTGTCATCCCCCAGACACCCTGCCTGCCACATCTCCTCCTCGTCAGAGAGGGAGAAGTAGACGATGTTGCGAGAACGCGCGCCCGACATGCCTGCCTTACTCAGCACCCACAGCTTCTCCTTGAGTTTCTTGGTGGAGGAGCTGAAGGTGCTGCTGGTGATGGAAAAGCCGACACCTGCATTCTTCAGGATGCGGTCCAGGCCTCGGCGAATAGCATGGAGTGAGGTGGCCAGGAAGTCTGAGCCGTCGCTCTTCTTAACGGTGACATAAAAGTTCTCAAGCAGCTCGTTCAACTTCACTGCAGGGATCTCAAATGAGACAAACATGGAGGTTACACACTTGACACTCACACAGCCAGACCCCTCCTTCCTTCTAATCCTCACCAGGGGCTGTGTTGAGGACATTTTGTGACCCCTTAGCAGGACTTAATGGAAAGAACAGTGAATTTCAAGCTGGAAGATCTAGGTTCCATACTTGGCTCCACCTGATCTCTTTAAACCTCAGTATTTTTTTTTTTTTTTTTTTTTTTGAGAGGGAGTCTTGCTCTGTCGCCCAGGCTGGAGTGCAGTGGCACAATCTCGGCTCACTGCAAGCTCCGCCTCCCAGGTTCACGCCATTCTCCTGCCTCAGCCTCCCGACTAGCTGGGACTACAGGCGCCCGCCACCATGCCTGGCTAATTTTTTTGTATTTTTAGTAGAGACGGGCTTTCACTGTGTTAGCCAGGATGGTCTCGATCTCCTGACCTCGTGACCCGCCCGCCTCGGCCTCCCAAAGTGCTGTGATTACAGGCGTGAGCCACCGTGCCCGGCCTAAACCTCAGTATTTCAATCTGCAAAACAGAACATCATAATCAATACCCTCTCCAAGGCTGTAATGCTTAAAGCAGAGGACTGTGAAAGGGTGTGTAAATAGTAATTAACACCCCCCATACACATATATACATGTGTGTCTGCAAACACATATATATACACACTTATTATTACTGGCTGTTTGTAACTTTCACTATTTCTCTTGGAAGGCCTGTGGTTTTGTTTGAAAATAGTTGCTTCCCTCTCCTTTAATAAAATTCAACCCAAACTCTCTGAAAAATTCCTGAATTAAACAAACTCTGAATAACTTCATCATTGATTTCCTTGACATCTGCACAGAACATTTGGTTACTAGACACAGTGCTGTAGGGTAAGACCATTTCCCTACATTGTCCATTTTGCACAGCAAGTTAATGCTCCTTGATTTTTCAGTTGAATTTATCTGAATAGGTCCTGAAATATCTGTGGTTTAATGAGCCACAGGCTTTCAATATCAGTTTTTTGTTTAAAATGTATGAAAAAGCTGGACACGACGGCTCACGCCTGTAATCCCAACACTTAGAAAGGCCAAGGTGGGCGGATCACCTTAAGTCAGGAGTTCAAGACCAGCCTGGCCAACATGGTGAAACCCCATCTCTACTAAAAATACAAAATTAGCTGGGCACGGTTGTGTGTGCCTGTAGTCCCAGCTACTTGGGAGGCTGAGGCAGGAGAATTGCTTAAACTGGGAAGGTGGAGGTTGCAGTGAGCCAAGATTGTGCCACTGCACTGTAGCCTGGGCGACGAGAGTGAGACTCCATCTCGAAAAAAAAAAGTGAATGACTATCCTGACAGAATGAGCTCCTTATTTAGAGAGAGTCAGAAGAGAAGGGAGAGCTTGGCTATTAAGAAAGCTTTATTTTCAAGATGGAACTACAAAGGGCAAAGCAGCCCTTGCTCATGGTCTATTCAAGCTGAATACATATTCTAGGACAATTAGAAAGTCCCAATAAAATATTTTTTTTTTATCGAGTAGACACTGGACAGGTAACATTCATTCTTCTAACAGCCCTTAATCAAGGAGAAAATAAAAGCTGAACTATAGATTAAAAATTAACCAAACTGAAAATATTATATATCAAAATGTATGAGATATTGCTAAGTATACATAATAAATGTACATCATAGTTTTGGATGACATTGTTAGAAAACTTTATTGAGAATAAGCAAACTGATTATTCAACTCAAAAAGCTAGAAAAAGTAAACTAAACTCAAAAATCGTAGAGTGGGGTTGGGCATGGTGGCTCATGCCTGTAATCTCAGCACTATGGGAGGCTGAGGCAGGAGGATCACTTGAGGTCAGTTTAAGACCAGCCGGGCCAACATGGCGAAACCCCATCTCTACTAAAAAAAATATAAAAATTAGCCGGGCATGGTGGTGTGCACCTGTAGTCCAGTCCCAGCTACTTGGGAGGCTGAGGCAGGAGAATCGCTTGAATCCGCAAGGCAGAGGTTGGAGTGAGCTGAGATCATGCCACTGCACTCCAGCCTGGGCAACAGAGCAAGACTCTGTCTCCAAAAAAAAAAAAAAAAAGTAGAGTGAATCAATAAAAATAAATAAATTAATTAATGGACTAGAAAAGAAATAAATTGGGATAGATAAAAATGTAATCATTGAAAAGACCCATAAAGTTGAAAAACTTCTAGCAGGTCTGACTTTATAAAGGGAGTGAGAAAGGAGGAAAGGAAGTATGTATACACCTAAACCTTATTAGGAATAAGAAAGACTATACAGAAGATAAAAGAGTAAAGAATATGAAAGAACATCACATACTTTATACATATTAATATGAAAATCTAGATAACCTGAACAATTGTCTAGCAAAATATAATGGGTTCAATAAAAGGTAAAGGATCTGAAGAGCCCCAAAGAGTGTGAAATGATTGTCAAAGATGTATATTGTTCCTAAAAGTATGCCTTTATGGAATCAGTTCAGCTTTTCTTTTTCATTTAAATAGTTTCAGAGCATAGAAAAAGACAGAAAGGCTCTTCATTTTTTTCTAACCCAAATCTGACCAATATTACATTAAAACCCAAAGTATTTAAATATAAACTACCCCCAAGTAAAATTCAAGCAATTTTCATTTTGCATGTTATTAGATTAAATAGAATGTGTGAACATTAGTATCACCCACATCGAGGGCATGGCTCTGATACACACAGGTTCCAGTTCATATAGTACCTCTCAAAACAAGGACTGCCTGTGTAACCAGGTATTCCAGCTTCGAAAAGCATTTTTTTTTTTTTTTTGAGACAGATTCTCACTCTGTTGCCCAGGTTGGAGTGGAGTGGCATAATCTCAGCTCACTGCAGCCTCACCTCCTGGGTTCAAGTGATTCTCATGCCTCAGCCTCCTGAGTAGTTGGGACTACAAGTGTGTGCCACCACACCTGGCTAATTTTTGTAGTTTTTAGTAGAGACGGGATTTCACCATGTTGGCCAGGCTGGTCTCTAACTCTTGACCTCAAGCGATCTGCCTGCCTCGGCCTCCCAAAGTGCTGAGATTATAAGCTTGAGCCACAGGGCCTGGCTAAAATGAATTGTAAAGTTTTGTTTTCCTTTCCTTAGCCTCAGAATGTAGCCTTGACATGTACCTTAAAACCCTTTGTTTCTCTCCTTTCCCACCAGACACTCCCTTACACCATGCACATTTATCTAATTATATACTTATTCAACTTACACTTATCTAACTATGTGCTTACTTAGAAGTTCCAGGGCTAATCTGGAGACAAACCAGGCCTGGAGACCCAGTTGCAAAATTCCAGAGATTACCTCAAGGCCACTGGTCAACAACCCAGCTATTGTTGAGATGAGGCCACCATGCTCCAGGTGGACCACGACTCAAGATAGCCACTGGAACAAGACACGGAGACCTTGTGCCCAGCAGCACTCCCGCATGCCTCCCGTTCCAAGTTCCTTTTTTATGCCCCTCTCTCCAGCCAAAGTTGAAAATGGTTTCTTTAAGGCACTAGCCTTGGCCATTTCCCCACTGCTAGCTCTGGAATAAAGTCACTTTTCTTTTACTGCATCTCATCTTTGTTGCTGGCTTTGCAAGTGGTGAGCAGCTGTACCTGTGTTCGGTTACACCTGTATTATAAGTTAAACTTAGGACTGAATGGACTAATGACAATACATTCAACGCATTATGGGAAGACAGAATGAGGCATCGAACCTATCCTGTGGGCATCAAGGGAAGTGTTTGACTCCTGAAGTGAACACAAAATGATCCCATCCTAATAAATATTTTAATATAATTGACATTCACACATTAAAACAAAAAGTAATATGAACTTACACATACTTGAAAAGTATTTGAAAAAAATGTGACCTCCATTACAAATTTTTAAAAATTCAAATTCAAATTTAGATAGGAAGAAAAAGATCTTCTTACTATGATGAAGCGTAATTTACAGGCAAGAGCTAGAAAAACTGTATCCACAAGGAAAACATTCGAATCTTTCTTACAAAGTCAGGAACAGGAAGAGCTTACTCAATATCACTGTTATTATATAATACTGTTCCGGAGGTTCTAACCAACCAGATAACACAAGAGAAAGAAGTTACATACACACACACATACATATGTATGTATATGGGAAAGGAAAAAGACAAAATATAATTGCTTTCTGATAATCTGGTTGTTGGTCAAGGAAACCCCAAGAGATTCAGCTGAAAAGCTATCAGAGTAGGTTAGTGGTATGCAACTATAAGAAAAACAGCTTTCTTATATACCAGCGATAACCAGTTAAAATAACTTGCCAGAAACCACTGTACTAAAACAAAGCTGGCTTTGGATTTTTATGTTGTCACTTGCAACTCCCTACTTGCAGGTGGTCAGCTCTCTTTATAGTAGTTGAGACTCCTTTGGTTGCAAGAGACAAACCAAACTGGAAGCTGAGGCAGAGAGGGATATCAGAACGAGTGGACTCCAAGGCCTCCAGGATTCTCATCTTTCATCTCTGCTGCTTTGTGCGGAGTGGCTTTTTTCACATAGCTGCAAGCACAGCCACCTAGCACTCCCCCAAATTTCCATCTTAAAGTTTCAGGTTTAGCAAGAGACCAACTCTCATTTTCAGGAGCAAAACACCAAAAAGAAGGATTCTGATTGGACCTAATCCAAACAACTCGCCAAAAGGTAGTTCATTCAATTCATTCTCCTAATGTGATGGCTTCTGCAATAACCATGTGGATTATAGGAGAGGAATGGTTCCTGAATAAGGGATGCTGAGTAGAAAGTCTTATTTTTTATGTTAGCGCTTTCAACAAAAAACAAAAAGCAAATCTTTGATAGTTTCCTGTGCCCTTGGGATAAATTCCAAACTGTTTACTTTGCATGCAAGTCTTCACAATCTGCTTCTGACAGTATGAGAAGACAACTACAATTCCCCTCCGTGTACACACACCCTTTGGCAACCAGACTTTGCTGCTTCTCCAATCAAGTAGAATCCATTTTCCCACCCCTTGAATCTGGGCTACCCACGTGACTTATTTTCACCACGTGACTTATTCCGCAGAATATGGCAGAAGTGACAATGTGTGAATTCCAAGCCTTCAAGGAATGTGTGAATTCCCAGGCTTCAAGGGGTTCTGCTTTTGCTGCTTTTGTCTTTTTTTTTTTTTTTTTTTTTTTTAAGACAGAGTCTCACTCTGTCACCCAGACTGGAGTGCAGTGGTGTGATCACGGCTCACTGCAGCATCCACCTCCTGGGTTCAAGCGATTCTCCTGCCTCAACCTCCTGAGTAGCTGGGATTACAGGTGCACAACACCATGCCCGGCTAATTTTTATATTTTTAGTAGAGACGGGGTTTCACCACATTGGCTAGCCTGGTCTTAACTCCTGCCCTCAAGTGATCGGCCCACCTTGGCCTCCCAAAGTGCTGGGATTACAGGTGTGACCGCGCCTGGCCTGCTTCTGTCTATAGGTTCTTACTGGTTTAGTGCATGGTGTTGCCCTGTGAGGAGGCCCAGTTAGACTGTGGGAATATGGGGACAAGTTGTTCCCATCTAACATCCAAAAGACTGCACCCATATGAGTACCCCAAGTGAGACCAGTAGGGGAGGTACTCAGCTGAGCTCAGCACAAAATGCTAACTCACTCATCAAATCATGAACAAATAAAATGGCTGTTGCTTTAGGTCCCTATATTTTTGGGTGGTTTGTTATGGAGCGGTAGATGACCAGTACACACCCTATTTCTGTAACCTGATCTTCTGTACCCTTTGTACTCTGTTTTCCAGCTTCATCGAGCTTTTTGCCATAACTAGAAACCATAAGGCCTTTTCATGCTACTTCCTCTGCCGAGAATGCTTTTTTCTACTAACTGTCTCTATTTGGAAAATCTCTATTCATTCTTCCAGAATTAGCTCAAATATGACTTTCTACATAACTTAAGCAAAGTTATTCTCTCATATGGGATCCCATGGCACTTAATTTAAATTTTTGTTATGGTCCTTTCCATGTTGTACATTCTCTTATCTAGTTTATGTCTATCTCTTGAAGTGGACTGAAAGCTCCTTGAAGACAAGAACTATGTTTCATTTATGACTGGGTCTTTAACACATACCAGAAGTCCCAAAATATGTAATTGGCACTGTATAACCATGGGTTAGGCGGGGACAGTGGCTCATGCCTATAATCCCAGCACTTTGGGAGATTCAGGTAGGCGGATTGCTTGAGCTGAGTTTGAGACCAGCCTGGGCAACATGGTGAAACCTCGTCTCTACAAAAAATACAAAAATTTGCCAGGCATGGTGGTGCATATCTGTAGTCCCAGCTACTCTCATAAGGCTGAGGAAGGTGGATTACTTGAACCCCGGAGGTAGAGGTTGTAGTGAGCCAAGATCACACCACCACACTCCTGCCTGGGTGACAGAGTGAGACCGTCTCAAAACAAAACAAATGCATTAAACCAATGAATTAACCTAGTGTCAGGAGAACCAAGCTGACTTAAGATACAGAACATTTTTCTTAATTTCCACAGAATACCACAAGTTTCAAAGTAAAATCAGAGCCAAAGCAATTCCTCGAGAAATGTCAAGTCACAACACTTATATTGTTTGCACACAAAAAAACATTCTGGCCCGTGGTGGTTGCATCCTTAGTTTTCTCTGACTCAGTTTTAGTGGGTGATTATTCTCCCAGGTTACTAAGGTCTTCAATCGATTATAAAGACATTGCAAGAAACCATTTTCCTTTAGTAACCATTCTGAATTGATTCACCACGTCAAGACTCACTATGGATGATAAAACTGGCTTCCTTGATGTAAAAATGACTAAAGAGAAGTCAGAGACTGGTCATGGGGCTGATGACACCAAGTGGGAAAGAATAAAATAAAAAAAAACTGGGCTGGGGATGGAGGCTCATGGCTGTAATCCCAGCACTTTAGGAGGCCAAGGCAGGTGGATCGCTTGAGCCCAGGAGTTTGAAATCAGCCTGGGCAACACAGTGAGACCTTGTCTCTAAAAAAATTTAAAAATTAGCTAGGCATGGTGTTGCACGCCTGTTGTCTCAGCTACTCAGGAGGCTGAGGTGGGAGAATCACAAGCATATTTTTTTATTTCTTCAAGTTCTTTTTGTTTCACATTCATTGATTTTAGACTTTCCTTGATAAGCATTTAAAGCTAAAATTTTTTTCTCTATAGATATTTTAGCTACAACTCACAAATTCTGATAAGTGGTGATTTAATTTTCATTCAGTTCAAGACATTTTATAACTTCCTTTGTGATTTCTTCTTGGTCCTTTGGTTATTAGTAATATGCTAACTTCCAAGTACTGGGAACAGTCTAGTTAGATCTGTAATTAATTTATAATTTAATTTGGACAGGCGCAGTGGCTCACACCTGTAATCCCAGCACAAATATAATTGCTCTGACTCTTCAAAAAACCTGAGCACCTACATTTTGGATGTTTCCCTTATAAGAGTATTATCATATGACTCTGCCAGGAGCCAGGGTATGCTACCTACCTAGAACCGCTTTAGGACCCTTTCAGGTACTCTTTTTCATCAAGGATTCATCAGCTCATCTTCCCTTTTTTAATAATGTTATCAACATATGCTCTCAGAGAGGACCCTGCCTTTCATATGTGCTTACTGGTCACTGCTTCTGTTGCACTTTTTTTTTTTTTGGTCCCATGGATGCTGCCCTGTCTGCATGTACAGTAGAAAGGCCCCTCACACTATGTAGTGTACCATGGTGCCAGAAGTAGAAAGCAGGGTTTCCTGCCCTATTTCATCTGTTGTTCATTCCCTAAGCACATCACTCAAACCTGGAGATCTCACTTGCTCTTGGGCTTCAACTATGACATCCATTTGCAAGACTTTTCAATGTATACTTCCAGCTTTAACAGTTCCACCATGTTTTAAGTTCCACATTCCTAACTCTTTGTTGACCATTTCCATCTGCACATCTGATTTAGATTCAATGCAGTCAAATCAAAATACAGTACCTTTATGTTCTATCTCCACATGTCCAAGATTTTCTCCTTCAATTTACAAACCTCAGGCATTTCAAGTTGGATGAGTTTTTCAGTTTTCTTGTTTGTTTTTTAGAGGCAGGGTCTTGCTATGTTGCCCAGGCTGGAGTACAGTAGCTATTTATAGTCACGGTCATAGCACACTGTAGCCCTGAACTCTTGGGCTCATGCAATCCTCCTGCCTTAGCCTCCTAAGTAACTGGAACTGTTACAGGTGTGTGCCAGTACCCCTGGCTTTCAAGTTGGAAGAGATTTTTTTTTTTTTTTTTTTTTGAGACGGAGTCTGGCTCTGTCGCCCAGGCTGGAGTGCAGTGGCGCCATCTCGGCTCACTGCAAGCTCCGCCTCCCGGGTTCACGCCATTCTCCTGCCTCAGCCTCCCGAGTAGCTGGGACTACAGGCGCCCACAACCGCGCCCGGCTAATTTTTTGTATTTTTAGTAGAGACGGGGTTTCACCGTGGTCTCGATCTCCTGACCTTGTGATCCGCCCGCCTCGGCCTCCCAAAGTGCTGGGATTACAGGCGTGAGCCACCGCGCCCGGCCTGGAAGAGATTTAAGAGCTCATTTTACAAAGGGGGAAATGGAGGACCAAGGACATTAATTAACTTTTTGCTCATCACTTCCAATTATTTCCCTAAAATACTACTTTCATTATGTTTCTTCTCTCTCAAACAACTTCAGTGGTTTCCCTTTTGTCTAATCCTTAGGATGCTTGCAGATTTTCTGGTCAGAGTGTTTTCCCTACTACAATAGTCCCTGTCTCTGCCCCTGTAATAATCCTTTCAAATGAAGTCTCTCCTTAGCAAAACCAAAACAAGATATTTCAGTGATTTTCCAGTGTTCACAAGATTTTAGCCTGGCACTTAAGGGTTATCAGAATCTGGTTTTATTGTCCATGATACCAAGATATGAGGCTTCTGCTGTAGGCAAGTGAGTCTGTCTCCCCAAATTTGATTCTTCCTCACATCCCTCAGCCTAGAAGGCTCCTGTCCTCATCTAATTCTACTGAAATCCTACCTTTCCTCAAAAAAAAAAAAACCTTAAATATCAATTATCTCTCCAGTTTTACCAAACTGAAATTAATTTACCCACCTGAACTTTTCAGGCATTTCCAATCTATAAATTCATAAAATGCTTGTTACATTCTGCTTTGTGTGTGGATTTTTTCTATTTTATGTTCTTCCAAAGTTTCCCAAGGCAGAAAGCCACCGTTCTGTGTTCCCTACAATGCTTAGCACAGTGCCGGGCATTTGGAAGCTCAGTGAAGTTGGCTGAAAGAAGTAAACTCAAGAGTCCCTTACCTTGGTGATGTCTGTGTGGTCTTTGAGCCCGTTGGTCATGCACCAATATCGCCACACATTCAAGGCGTACCGCGTGGCTTTGGTAGTATTTGGGCTTACTGCACTGGTACACAGATCATTCAAGTCATCATTAATATTAAATACAGGAAATTTGTTGAGCTTAGTGGAATAAGCTAGAAATAAAAACAATAAAAGCATTAAAATAATTTGCCATTCCCTTCTTTAGAGAATTATATCTTGGGATGCTAAAAAACAGAAAACTCTAAAAGACAACACCTTAAAACATGAAATGTCTATGAAAGTATATGTATATCTATATCTATATCTATATATTAGAATAAGTAGGAAAAATACTTATAGCATGGAATCAATGCAGTAAGCTTGCATTTAATCCCAACTATTTTACCATATATACTAGCTTATGTACTAATGCAGGCATTCCAATAATAGAAGTATAAAAATAAATGCTGAAAATCAAACACTGTTCTATCTAAAATTTTCACTGAAAAAAAAATAGCATTTCTATTCACAACAACAATCAAAAGAAAAGGAAGAATGAGAAAGCAAATAAAAAAGTAGATACCCTCGCACATGAAGACCTATCATTTATTTGTAATTTACATTTTCAAATGTCTTGTGTGCCATCCTGGGCCGCCTTGAAGTAAATGGTGTTAGCTCTTTTTTTTGAGATGAAGTTTCGTTCTTATCGCCCAGGCTGGAGTGCAATGGCAGGATCTCAGCTCACTGCAACCTCCGCCTCCTGGGTTCATGTGATTCTCCTGCCTCAGCCTCCCGAGTAGCTGGGATTATAGGCACCTGCCATCACGTCTGGCTAATTTTTTATATTTTTAGTTTCACCATGTTGGCCAGGCTGGTCTCAAGCTCCTGCCCTCAGGTGATCCACCTGCCTCGGCCTCCCAAAGTGCTAGGATAACAGGCATGAGCCACTGCGCCTGGCTCTGTGTTAGCTTTTTTTTTTTTTTTTTTTTTTAAGTTTTGTTCACAAAATTGATAGAGGGGTTTAAATCCTGATTCCACAACCCATCAACTAGCTTTGAATCAGAAGGGAAGGTCAAGTGAGAGAAAAATGATAGGAAGAAGGGAGGAATATTTCAGAGGGGCTCACATCTCCTCAGAGGAGAGGGAACATAGTTTAACTTGCCATAATTACTTCAGATAAAGACAGGTCTCAACATGTCTACTTTAAGTGTTGGTTGCCAAAGGGATAACTAGCTCATAACCCTTAGCTGGCTTTTCTTAAGACCCTGTGATCTGCTAAAACCAGGCTTAATCTGTTCAAATTGTAAGTCAAGGTAGAGCATCTCAAAGTAAAAATACTTCATCTAATAGTTCTCACCCTCTCTGGACTATTGATGAATGTATTCAAACAAGGCGCTAACCGGCTAGGGCTGTGGGAAACAGCAAAATGAAAAGTTAATGCAATGACCAAGGTGAACTGCAAATTGGGTTCATTTTACCTCCCTCACTTCACCTTTCACTGCTCCCTCTGAGCATCTCCTCTATATCAAACTACCAGGCCTGCTGTCCCCAGGATCCATCCATCTGCACCAGGAAACCCACACTACACCTTCCCCATGCACTGCCTGAGCAATCTTCACATGGTTTTTGTTTTGTTTTGTTTTTGAGATGGAGTCTCACTCTGTTGCCTAGACTGGAGTGCAGTGGCATGATCTTGGCTCACTGCAACCTCCGCCTCCCAGGTTCATGCGATTCTCCTGCCTCAGCCTCCCAAGTAGCTGCAACTCCAGGTACCCACCACTACACCTGGCTAATTTTTGTATTTTTAGTAGAGACGGGTTTTTGTCATGTTGGCCAGGCTGGTCTCGAACTCCTGACCTCAGATGATCCACCCACCTCCGCCTCCCAAAGTGCTGGGATTACAGGCGTGAGCCACCGCGCCTGGCCTTCACATGGTCTTTGTGCCAATCAAAATACTGTCTTTTTTTTCAATTCGAAATCCACTTTTACACAACCTTTCCTCACACTCACCCAACTCCCTTATCCTCTTCTTCAGTTTATGCCTCACATTTGCTTTACTATTTTTTAGGAGTGTGTTCTCACTGTGTCCAGAAGGTCTCTTCAATTGGTTTGCATGCCCCTTAAGACTATGTCTTTGCTCTTTCAATCTCGATCCTGCCAAGAACTGTTGAATGCACTCTGCTTTAATAAATGTTTACAGCAAGAGAGGAAGAAAAATTGCTGGAAACTATCTGAAGCAACTGTGTCATGAAGTAGACTCCTCTCACCACCCCATCAACCTGGATAACTCCTATTACTTGTGGGACTTGCTTGATATTAATAAAAGGACTCTTGTATAAAGTTTATTATTGTTATACTTAGCACTAATTGAATGCCTACTATATGCCAAGAGGTTTTACATAAATTGTCTATAATCCATAAGCAAGTCCTTTGTTATTCCTGTTTTCGAGGTAAGGAAACTCAGCCTCATACCTGTAACTTCATACATTCACTCATCCAATATTTACCAAGGTACCCTCTCTGTGCCAGGCAGTGGGCTGTTTAAGTTATGAAGTTAGTAAGTGGAAGAGCCAGGATTTGAACCTGGGTCTCTGACTCCATGTTTGAGTTACTACGGTGAAGGAATCAGTTACTATAAGAATAAAATTCTCAGTAAAGAATGCAATTTAGATATTAGCTTGTGCTTATGAAAAAATACCTTGGTTCCCCAAATGTACTCAGATGAACCTTCAATAAGAATAACTAAGTCTGCTTTGTTTAGATGACCACTATTGTTTCAAACACGATTAAGTTAATTATTACATTAAATAGCTAAATAATTTCTTTTTAAAAATTTTCTTAAAATCACAGGACAGAGACTATACACCGAAAATGGAAACCTAAATCCCAGAACACAGTGAAACAAATAAAGAATACTTGTCTGCTTATATAATGGGACAGAAATTATGTGAAAATGATTAAACGACGACATATATGGTTTGTTCATGATTATATTTATGGATTAAATTTCATTTACTTAATAAATTGCTTTCAAAATTTTGGAGGTAGGAGTTGTGTTATGCTGCTGAGGATATTTTTAAAAGACTATATTGGTGAAGAAACAAACAAAGGTAATAACTTATAACCTCATACAGGAAAAAGAGGGGACTACTGAAGGAAGACATGAATGATTTTTTCCACCAGAGGACAGGACAAACCCCAAGTGCAAGATGAGGAGGAGCTGGGTGTGAGAGAGAGAAGGGACTGTGAGATCGTGGTAGTGTAGGCTGCGGATGCCCTTACATCATCTGCCATCAGCACAAGTGCTGGCAAGTACGGCTGTGTGAAGTGAGGGATGTTTGCTGTGGAAGTCACCCTGAGGGCCAGAGAGAGGAAACGGGGCTCTGCCTCAGGTAACTCTGGGCAGTCCCATTGGACACGGACAAGGGAAAAAGCAAAGCAGCTAAGAAAAGCAAAGAATTCCCTGAACGCCGCCATCTCTCAGGTAACACCTTCCTCATGTCTATCACTGGGACAGTTCCAGTTTCCCAGCCTGTTGCCAGCTCAGGCACCCCGAAGGGAAGCCTATCCATGACCATTTCTTCAGCCACTCTCATAGCTGCTTGAAGTCCACTTGCAGAACCCTGTGCTCAACCACAGCCTGCAGAAATGAGCTCCATCCAGGTGTTATCAGACGGGAGCCTTTAGCAATAGCTAAGGAAATCCCTATCAATTACCATTAATGATCAATCTAGACCTGAATTCTAAAATGTGACTACATAAGCATCACTTGGCAATGGGGAAAACCAGTAGTGTGACAGTCACCAAGCTATGCAAGCAGAGAAGCTAATTCCGCATTCCCTACTCATTCCCTTGAAAGGAGAGTTAATCCGGAAAACCCAAAGACAAAAAATTAGACATTACAAATATATCATTAGCGATTTGAGAGGATAACATCCTTAAAATAAGAAGAGTCTTTACTGGAAAAGGAAAAATAGGAAAACAAGAAAGATCCTGGAAATTTAAGATGATTGAAAAAATATATTTTAAAAACAACGGATGAGCTGAGTACTAGAATGAACACGGCTAGAGGCAAATTCGTGATCTAGAAGGACTCTTCCCTACAGGGCAGGCAAAAACATTAAAAGATACAAGGGTGAAGTTAAGAGATATAAAAGACAGATCCTGGAGACTGAATATCTATCTTAAGAATTCAAAGGAAAAACTTACAAGGATGAAAGAAATAATATAAGGAAAGTTCCATTAATCAAAGAAAGATCTGAAACTTTAGGATATTAAGGTTCATGAACTGTCAAATAGAAATACTGAAAGAAGACATACATGTAAACATATCTTGGTGAAACTTCCAAAGTCTAAGAACAAGGAAAAAATTCTACAATCTTTTCTGGTAGGCAGAAAAAAAGAAAAAAGCCACCAAGAGGCACTACAGCTGTCAACATAGTGAGAAGACTCAGATTTCTCATCTATAACACCAAAGGGTTAAAAAACAAACAAAAAAAAAGACATAGTCTCCTCAGAGTTGTGAGGGAAAAAGACTGTAAATGAAGAAATGTATTACCCACCTAAAGCAGCATTCAAATGCTAGGGCAAAATAAAGATATTTTCAATCATAAAAGAAGCAGCATCCAAGCACACACCTTATCTTTAAAAAAATTAGTTACAGATAACTGCCAGCAAAATGAAAAATGGAAAGAACAAAGCGGAAAACAATAGGGCATAAGACATAACGAGGAGCAAACATTTATTTTTGACATTCAGTAATGTGGCAATAAAGCTGAATACAATTGTTAAGAAAGGACTGTATACTGTATGTAAAATATATCTCATTGAAGTTTTTTGCTTTTTAAAGAATTGTGAAATACATGAAGCATAATGGAATACAATCTTGAACCAAAAATCCAACACCTGCAATCTATCTAGCAAAAGTTAGAACAGGTTAACAAAAGAAATAAAGAACCACGAAAGAAAGCATGATGTATAGGAAACTTAAAATCATGCACGTGGAGGGCTTCCACTTTAGGACTATGATGAAGTCGCTGGTATTATACTCTTCCTCCTGCTGAGAATCAACCTTGATAAAATCCACTGGAACACAACCAAAGGAACCAGAACTCAAGAAGCAAAAATCCCAGAAATTAGGGAAATGCATAGAGGTGATTCCTGCTCTGGTCAC